ATAAACCACTCAGAAAACTGGAAATGGCTCTTGTAGCAAAAGTGGTAGAGTGCTAGCCTTGAGCTGAAGAGCTGAGGGACAGCACCCAGGCCCAGAGTTCGAGCCTCACCACAAACACACACACACACACACACACACACACACACACACACACACACACACACAGAGTATGGCTCAAGTCATGAAATATTTGCCTAGCAAATGCAAGCCCTGGTTGCAAATCTCTATACCATCAAAGAATAAAAATTAAAAAAGAGTAAAAGCTGGATATTGAAGGATGCTGGAAGCTCATACCTGTAATCTTAGCTACTTAGGAGGCTGAGATCTGAGGATCAAGGTTCAAAGCCAGCCCCAGCAGACAACCAAAGAAACTCTTACATCCAACTAGCCAGCAAAAAGCCAGAGATGGAGGTATGGCTCAAGTAGTAAAGCTCTAGCTCTTGAAAAAAAAAAGCTCTGGGACAGCACCCAGGTCCTGAGTTCAAGCCCCAGCACTGGCACAGAAAAACCAACCAAAAAACCCAGCAAAAAAAACCAGCAAAAATTTAAAAAATAAGTAAAATAAAAAAAAAATTAGGGCTGGGAATGTGGCTTAGTGGTAGAGTGCTTGCCTTGCATGCATGAAGCCCTGGGTTCAATTCTTCAGTACCACATAAATTAAAAAAGCTGGAACTGGTGTATGACTCTAGTGGTAGAGTGCTAGTCTTGAGCAAAAGAAGCTCAGGGACAGTGCCCAGGCCCAAAGTTCAAGCCCCAGGACTGGCAAAAAAAAAAAAAAATTAAAGGCTTTCTGAGTGCTTATAAAATTTTGATAGGAATGAAAGTGGCCAGATAAACAATTCTGTACTGCGGAATGAAAACTACAAAACTAAGATTAGAAAAGGAATGTAAAGAAATGGACCAAGTGTAGAATTGCATCGATTATCTGGCAGGGATTGGGGATATAGCTCAGTGCTTGCCTGCTTGTTTAGCATGTGTAAGTTTCCACCCCTAGCAGAAAAAAAATTACCCCATCTATTCAATGTATTTACTGTGCTTGTGAGTGCATTTTATCATGATTCATAAGATAGTGGTGTCTACATAAGAGTAGCAGGGTAGCTGGACCTAGTGGCCCATGCCTGTGATCCCAGAGGAACATGACAGGGACCAGGACAGGCTGGACTATACCAAAAACTTGAGGCCAACCTGAGTTACATTATGAGACCCTGTCTTAAAAAAACAATGAGAGAAGAGTATGCAGGTGGGAACCACTATCTTACCCCTGGAACCCTGGCTACTTGTAAGTCTGAGAACTGGAGAATCAAGGTTCAAAGCTAATCCAGGCAGAAAAGTCCAAGACACTCCATCTCCATTGAACCAGTAAAGAGCCAGATGGGCAACACGGCTGGAGTCGCAGAGTGCCAGCTGTGAGGCCAGCAAGCCAGCATGAAGCCCTGACTTGAAGCCCAGATATCGCCCCTCACCACCACCACCTCCCCAAAACAGTGTAGTCATGATGAGCAAGGTTTAGGAAAAGAATTTGACTGAGAAAAAGTAGGCCAAAGTATGCTGTTGATTTCATTCTGCCCAAGGGTATACATCCATCCAAATGGATCCTAGCTGATTGGTTTAGGCCTTTCCTGAATAAAGGAGTTAGCTAAAGACTATGGAGTGTGGGCTGAGAATGTGGCTTACTAGTAGAGTGCTTGCCTTGCATGAATGAAGCCCTGGGTTTGATTCCTCAGTACCACATAAACAGAAAAACTTGGAAGTGGCATTGTGGCTTGAGTGATAGAGTGCTAGCCTTAAGCAAAGAAGCTCAAGAGCAGTGCCCAAGCCCAAAGTTCAAGCCCTAGGACTGGCACAAACAAACAAAAGCTATGGAGTAAAAGGATTTAGACTCTCCAGCTGTCTATCCTCGGGTCTCTGCCTCCTAAGTATTAGAGTTACCAGTATGTAACACAATACCAACTCATTTACCTTTTATTCACACTGATTATTTTTTTCTGGTTCGGGGGCTTGAACTCAGGGCCTGGACACTGTCCTTGAGTTCCTTTTGCTCAAGGCTAGCACTCATCACTTGAGCCACAACTTCACTTCTGATTTTTTTTTTTTTTTGTAATTTATTGGAGGGAAGAGTCACAGACCTTCCTGCCCAGGCTGGCTTGGAACCATGATCCTCAGCTCTCTAGGGTTACAAGTGTGAGCCACTGGTGTTTGGATTCACACAGATTTTTATTAATTTGTATTTTTTTGTCGGTTGTGGTGCTTGAAGCTGTCCCTGAGCCTCTTTGTGCCCAAGTCTAGGGCTCTACTACTTGAGCCACAGTGCCATTTCTGTTCAGATTTTTAAAGAAAAGTAATTACTGGTAAAGTAGACCAGATAGCAAGAAAACTTCAGAGAACAACCAATGTGGAAGAAAATCATTATATATGAAAATCACATACAGGATTCAATGAAGGTGTTTTAAAATCTTGGAATGGGTGGAATGTGGCTTAGTGGTAGAGTGCTTGCTTAGCATGCATGAAGCCCTGGGTTCAACCCCTCTGTATCACATAAACAAAAACAAAAAAAACCAGAAGTGGCTCTGTGGCTCAAGGGGTAGAGTGCCTGAGTAAAAACAGCTCAGGCCTTGATTTCAAGCCCCAGTACTGGCAAAAAATAAAATACATACATACATACATAAAATAAATACATAAATTCTTGGAAGATGTCGCTAATAAAGAGCCATAGTTAAGGGCAGAGAAAAGGAGATTTCTCCTGTGCCACAGGCAGCTACAGGAAGACAGTACTTCAGTTCATCTCCAGCTATTTGCAGGGTACCAACATGAGCTATGGGTTTAAATAGACAAAGAATTCGGGGCAGGGAGCAAATATGTATTGTGAAGCAGTGTACAGAGTGGGTGAGAGGTGATGAGACAGGCCCTGTTTCAGGATTGGTCAGCTGGGGCCCCATCTTGTCTGGCTGTAAAGTGACGGCAGGACGGAACAGTTCAGGCAAGGAATGCATATAGAAAATGGAGGCCAGGAGGACCAGCTTTTTCTTCTTCTTCTTCTAGTTTTTAATTAATTCATAGGCTTAAGTAGTAAGTGCTTTTCAGCTTTTCATCAGTGGTGAGAGACACACAATTAAAAAGTAAACCTATGCCATGTCCTTTATTGAAGTGTTAAGAAATAACGATAAAGGGGTAAAAATGATAGCCATCAGTTGGAGGTCTGTGGCTCATGCCTGTATGCTAGCTACTCAGGGAGGCTGAGATCTGAGGATCGGCGGTTCAAACCCAGCTTAGGCAGCAAAGTCCATGAGACTCATCTTTATTTAACCACCAAAATGCTGGAAGTAGAACTCAAGTGGCTCAGGGAGTGGAGCCAAAAAGCTTAGAGAGCGGGTCCGGGTTCTGAGTTCAAGCCCCAATACGGGCAAGGAAAAAAAAAAAAAAAAGACTTCATCTTTAAATCGTGATCAGAGGATGGCTTTTCTGACGCGGTGACTGATTCCATCTCAATCCAGTTAGAATTCACGGTCTGCGACCTCTTGGTTGCACGATCCTTTTCTCAGCTGACCCACTTCTGTGAGCTCCCTCTGGAGAAGCTGGAGAGGATGAGGCGCTTGTTCTTCTTGTTTTTAAATGATCACGATCAGTAATGCCCATTATCTTCAAAACTCTACCACTTGAGCCGCGGCTCCTATTCCGACTTTTTGTGGGTTTAACTGGAGATCATCAACAGAGTTTCCTGTCCTGCGCTGGCTTCGAACCGCGATCCTCCAATCTCAGCCTCCTGAGGGATTTCAGGTGTGAGCCACCAGCACCTGGACTTACTGTTATTTTTGGAGTCTGGGGACTGAGCTCAGGGCAAGCCTGATTGTTCACGGCAGTTGACCGTCACGGACATTTAGCAACAGGGGAGTGAATATCCCGGGTCCAGGATTAGGGTGGGTTCCCAGCCGGCCTTAGAGCTACAGATGGGGCAATGGCTATCAATTCTCGGCAGCCGCAGCTCCAGAATTTCCACGTAAAGGAGAGTTTTCGGGTTGCAGCCAGTTCGTTGCAACGTGGAGCGCTTCTTGCCTAGCAACCGCAGTTTTCAGCGCCGTCGCCACCGTGCGGATCACCGAACCTGAGGTGGTTTAGGGCCGGCGAAGCCCGACAGTGGGAAAAGGGGAGTTACCCGGCCCACCCTCGGCCACGCCCCCCTTCGCCGCGGAAACTGCCACGTGAACTCCCCTCCCCGGATCGCCCAGTGAGCCGCTCCCCTCGGAGCCTCCCCCTCTCTCTGTAAGCAAATGGTATCTCCCGGCTCGTTCGGGTTCCGCCCTCCAAGTCACAAAGCTGGGAGGGGGCGGGGGCGGTCACGTGGGCCGGCCGGTGCGCTTTGTGACGTCGAGGCCCCGCCCCTCGGCCCGCCTCTCCGCGCACGCCCGGCCCCGCCTGGTGCGCGCGCTGCCCGTGCAGTTCCTGCTTAAGAGACCCCGGAGTGGGGCGCTCGCTCGGAGCCAGGCCGCGGCCGCCATAGTGGCTGGCTTGAAGGTGTCGCCGTCGCTCGGTGAGGGCCCGGAGAGCGGCCAAGGAGAGCGGGGAGGGGGTGGAAAACCAAACAAACAAACAAAAAAAAACCCGGCAGCCGAGCGGAAGCCCCTCACCACCGGCCCGCGGCGTGCGGGTTTCCCGAGTCCGCGGTTCAAAGGAAGTGAAGGGAAGGAAGGCGCAGGCGAGAGGAGCGCGGAGGACCCAGCGAGCAGGAAGAGCGTCCGGGAGTCTCGGCGGTGTCGGCTGAAGCCACCCGGCCGCGCGGGCTTGGGGCCCGGGGTGGTGAGGAAGGGCGGCGAGGCCTAGTCGCGGCCCGGCGGCGGCTTTGTGTCGGCGGCGTGGGGAGGGAGAGGCGGGAAGGCCGGAGAGGCGACAGGAAGGCCTCGCCGCGCGCCGCCCGCCGCCCGCCCGCTCCGTCCGCCCGCCCGCTCCGCCCGCCCGCCGCGCGGCCCGGCCTAGGCCGCGGGCGCCCGCTGCCCCCCCTCCCCCGGGGGAGCAGGCGGCCGGGGTGCGTGCGTGTGTGTGGCGGGGGCCGGGGGGGGCCGCCGACGCCGGTCGTCCGGAAGCCGGGAGGAGGCGAGAAGGCCGCTCGTGGACTCGGGGGGCCTAGTGCCCTCTCCCTGCGGCCTTCCCCGGGGCCCGGGTCACTCCCCCCCCCATCCACGGAAAAGAGAGAGAGAAAGCGATCCGCCGGGAGGTGCGGCCGCGCTATGGACCCCTGACCCCCGCGGGGGTCATTCGGACTCTTTTAACGTGTGGACTGGCCGCTACTGACTGCACCGCCTTGCCCCCCCAGCCTCCCCCACCCGTCTCCTGCGGCTTTTAGCATGAGCGAGCGGGATCCAGCCGGGTGACATTGTGCCGGTTGGCGGATTCTCGATTTCTTCTTCCACACTCCCTTCTCTTTCCCTGCCCCACCCCCACCCCACCCCCCGTACCCCAAACCCTCTTCCAACCCTCTATGAAGCGCTTCTGAGTCTCCGAGGGCGGGGGTTGTCCTGGATTATTGTTCTTACGAACCCCCTGCTTGTGGTTGGGGAGGGGTATTTAATCTGGAGGCCTTAGGGTCCTTCGGTGTCTGTTTTTTTTTCGTGTGTGTACATATTTTGCTCTGAAAGTTGATAAATATACGTATATTGAGAGTGTCCACGTCTCCTCGCTGAACCGTAGGAGTCCTTTTGGCACAATGTCTTGTGTACATTATAAATTCTCCTCTAAACTCAACTATGATACCGTCACTTTTGATGGACTCCACATCTCCCTCTGCGACTTAAAGAAGCAGATTATGGGGAGAGAGAAGCTGAAAGCTGCCGATTGCGACCTGCAGATCACCAACGCGCAGACGAAAGAAGGTAAGCCCACCCCCACCCCGGGCTCCTGCCAAGGCTGGGGTGGAGGGTGATTGCTAAGTTAGAAAGAAGAAGGTGCCTGACTCTTAACCGCCGTTCTGGTTCGTTCTAACACTGTGGATACAACTTTTCATTGATAGGCGACCTTGGAGTTGAAACTGACATGTTTGATTTCTGGAGCAGGGTAATCGGAAAACGTGGTAGTCTGACCTTCTCGAGTTTTTTTTTTTTGTTGTTGTTTTTGTTTTTAAAGTGTGGGTGGGGGTGGTAAATAAAAGGGGGTTGATAGTCGAGTCCTTTGGGGGGTTGCCTTGTGGCGTTTTTCTGATTTGTTTTTCATCAGAACATGCAAGGATTGGTCTGTGTTAATGCAGTGATAGGCATAACTTCTAATGTTGTAACCTAACCATGCTGTGGAAGTTAATAGCAAGTTGTTTGTCCTCTTTCCTCCCTCTCCCCCCAGGTATTTACTTATTTGGAGCTGCCTGCGTTGTGGAGAAAAGAGCCCCTAGTTTTCGTATTCTTTGAGGATTTAATGTGGAAATTGTTTTTTGGAACTTGAAATATTCTTGGCTTGTGTAAATTGCACAGTTAACAATAATTCCGTCGTTGGACTCTTAAGTTCATCACATTACTCTTAAATTTAGCAATTCAGGAAAGTTTAAAAGCCTGATACTTGTTTCTTAAATAGTGATTGCTAGACTGTCTCTCTCAATACCAAGAAACTTAAAATTTTACTAGGCTGCTGCCATGTGAGTGTTAGTAAACCAGGATAAGAATCTTTTTAAGTTCTTTTTCCTGTGTTTAAAATATTTTATAATGGGAATTCAAAAGTAGATGTGATGTGGCAGTCTTTTCCAACACTGATTTTGTTTTAGTTTCTTTTTCTCAGAATAGCAGTGTTGATGTGTTTACTAGATTGGTTTAATGAGATTTATTGTTGGGATGTGAAGAAATAGTGAAGTTCTGACTTTTAAGATGGATTGAAATTTATCGCTAAATGTGGCATAAAATTTGGCCTGGTGGTTGTTGAAAAGGGTGGCCCCCTGCCTTTAATCTGTAGTTTTAAGATTTATTGTTCGAGTGTGAAGAAATGGTGATCGTTGTAGGGTAATTTTATACTAATTGCTAACTGGCATAATACGTGATGGAGTGGTTGTTGAAAAGGATGATCCCCTGCCTTTAATCTGTAGTTTAAATTCTGTCATGGCTGCTGTTGTTTACAGTGCAGACATAAGTATAATTGTATTAGGCTGAGGACCAGCATTATTGGCATGTGGGGACTCCAAAGTATTAATTAAGCCAGAATTTATATGACAATAGATTTGAAATAATATTGTCTGCTTCCTCTTACTAAAAATAAATGTGTGCCAGTTCCTTTGGTAACTGGAATCATCTGTGTGTCTCCCTCTACTTAGGGAGAGGAAGATTGTTGGTGGTCAAGGACAGTTCAGGAAGAGCTTTAAGTATACTGAAAGCCTCTCTTGATATTTATTGTAGACACTGTTCATAAAGACAGATTTTGAAGAATTGTAAGCCATCTTGCTATATTGAGTATTTATGAATGAGAGGAAAGATAAATGAAACTAGAGGATATCAGGCAATTTTAAACGCTATGCGGGATTCATTTTCACTGAAATAGTAGTAACACAATTGAATCATTTGGGGCTAAGCTTTGATCATCTTTATCTACCTAGTGATCAAATAAAACTTTGAGACGAGTAAATTGTGGTTGAAGGAATCTTATACTTAAAATTGAAGAGATTTCTTTCTGACCGTATGTTTTTCCTAGACTGGTAAATATTAATACATGATCCAGACCCTGAAATCCAGGGAGGAGCTTTATATATTGTATGAGCTTTTTTATGGAAGAAGAGCTGTGGGAGACAACTGCTTTTTATTTCATCAAACTAGGGGAAAAAGTAGTACACAGAAGATAGTACCCCACTTACCAAGGCAGTTAAATGAGAATGCCACTTGGCTTAAGCATTATTCGGTGACTTAATATAAATGTAAATTAGTGTTGCAAAGAAAATGCTAAAAGCCTGAGGGGAGTTTACATAGGAGAGAATGTTGAACTGGATTTTTGGTTTGAATTAATGTTGAAGTTATCTCTAATATTACATGTTGCTACAAAGCTTTTCTTATAATATGAAGATCTATGTTTAGGGCTTAGTTTTGAAAAGACTTTGATCAGAATTCTGTGTTTTTGGACTTAACAATACTGCTTATCTCTAGGCTATATTTCACAGTGATCCCTTGAACTTTATTATTTCCGAAAAACTTTGTACTAACCTCCCTCTTCCCACCCCAAGCCACACAACAGTCTTCCTTCTGAATTTAGTGTGAGTTGGGAGTCCAGTGTGAAGTATTTTTTTTTTTAAAGACTTGATGTCTTGCTGCAAATTCAGCTTGTCCTCCAACCAGGCCTTTCATATTTTAAGACTGCCACGTCTTAGAAATAAATTGACTACTCATTAAGGATTTGTGTTAAATGTAAAACACTTTTTGGGCTTGGAAATCATTGTAAATTCAGGTAGTTAACCTGATCAGAACTTCTGAAGGGTGTTGGAATATTGACTTTAGTGTTGCTTTAGTTAACTGTAGTGTGCTGATGGAGTTAATATTTCCTTGAGAGCTAGTGTGAATTCACTTGACATTGTTAAAAATAAGAAACTTCCTTGCTGGGTGTAGTGGTGCATGCCTATAATCCCAGCAGTGCTCAGCCTGGCTATGTAGCATAACGCTGTCTCAGAAAAGGAAAGAAACTTCTTGTCTGATGTTTGACACTTAAGTTTTAGCTGTAGAATTAACTTTTAAGCTGATTAAAAATCTTGCTCTTTCCTGTGACTCGAACCTAGCTGCTCAGGAGATTTAAGATCAAGGACCAAGGTTGGGAAGCCAGCCCAGGGAGGAAAGTATAAGAGATACTTATCTGTAAGTAGAGTGCCAGCCTGCTCAGGGACAGCATCCAGGCCCTGAGTTCAAGCCCCAGGACTAGCAAACAACAACAACAAATATCTTCTATCCTGACAGACATTATTGGCTTATACCTATAATTCCTAGCTTCTACTCAGAAGGCTGAGATCTGAGGGTTGCAGTTCAAAGTGAGCCCAGGCAGGAGTCCCTTATGAGACTTACCACCAATTAATCTCCACCCCCCCCCCTACCCCCCCTCCCCCCAAAAAAAGTGGGAAGTGGAGGTGGGCTGAAGTGGTAGAGTGCCAGCCTTGAGCAAAAAACTCAGGGACAGTGCTCAGGTCCTGAGTTAATAATTAGCACACAATAACAAAAAGTCTCCCATCCTCCCTTCTGATTTTTTTCTCTTTAGGTTGCTTGGAAGTTGAGAAAGTTGAGACTGTTGTGAGTTGTACAAGAAAATAATAGTGTTTCATTAGCATGCCTAAATCTAGGAAACTGCATCACTTTATTGGATACCTATGAGATGTAGCCAGCCATGTAGAACATATTAAAAACAACCCTGCATGAGCAATTTAGTAGGCTTTTTTTTTTTTTTTTTTGGATGGTCGTGGGGCTTGAGCTCTGGGGCCTGGGCACTTGTCCCTCAGCTCTTCAGCTCAAGGCTAGTGCTCTACCACTTGAGCCACAGCGCCACTTCTGGTTTTCTGGTGGTTTATTGGAGATGAGTTTCACAGATTTTCCTGCCTGGGCTAGCTTTGAACTGTGATCCTCAGATCTCAGCCTTCTGAGTAGCTAGGATTACAGGCGTGAGCCACTGGCGCCCAGCCCAATTTAGTTTTAATAGGGAATGCTAATAGCATTTTGACTTAAAAAAAATAATAAAGTTGATACACATTATCAGCATTTTGGGAACATTAGGATTTGAACTCAGGGCTTTCTGCTTGAGAGTCAGGTATACTTCCACTGAGCCATACCTTCAGCTCTGAAGACATTAAGCCCAAAATGTCTAGATTTGTAATAAATTTGAAATAATACAAAGAGCAAATAAAGTCAGATGCTTTGTGCTAATAAGTGAAGCAAAAGTGGACCCACTATCTGGTTTGTGATTAAAGAAGATGATACATCTTCCAGAAGATGATACATCTTCCTTCCTTTAGTAAAGCTCCAGTTTCCTTTTAGGTTTTCTTCTTACAGAAGTATTATAGAAAGGCCATCTAATAGAAAATAACATCCACTCATCTTTCTTGTTGGTCTTCTTAAAAAAGTGATGTCACTGTTTATACATTTGCTAAAGCTGAGAACTCATAAATTGATGCTGATTCTTTCTTCATATTCTCAATATCCAGTGCAAGAACAAGACTTTACACTCTAACCCCATAACATTTGACTCCATTTCTCTGCCTGCCACATCCTACTATGAGCCTCAGCCATGCCTCCAACCCCCCGCCCCCCACCCCCACACCATCACTTCTGTCTGGATTAGTGTTAAGTAGTCACCTTATTTCTACTCTTTGTTTTATAGTTATGGGGGGGGGGGGGTTCTTGAACTCTGGGCCTGGGTGCTGTCCCTGAATTCTTTAGCTCAAGGCAAGCGCTCTACCACTTGAGCCACAATGCACTTCTGGTTTTCTGGTGGTTAATTGGAGATGAGTCTCACAGATGTTCCTGCCTGGGCTGGCTATGAACCCCGATCTTCAGATCTCAGCCTACTAAATAGCTAGGATTACAGGCACGAGCCACCAGCACCCAGCATGGTATGGTTTATTCTTAACATAGATGCCAGAACAATCCTTTTATCACAGTTGTCAACATTTCATGAAGATCAACCAGAGTTCCTATTGTTTAGAAATGAAACAATATTTGCTTTGTATAACCTTTGTACCTGTATTTTGTGTTACTCTTTTTCAATCTCTTTATCCCTGTAGTTCTTTCTGTCTCATTTTTTTTCTTCTGCCTAAAATACACTTTAGCTTTTTCGTGTATCTGGCTGACTTCTGAGTTTTAAGTTGCTAGTGTAGGTTCTTCAGAGGGGCTTTCTTTGAATTATCATTCTATTCAAAGTGACATTCACTATTTAGTCCTTATTAGAAAACCCTTTTCTGAGCCAGTTGCCAGTGGCTCACGCCTATAATCCTAGCTACTCAGGAAGCTAAGGTCTGAGGATTGTGGTTCAAAGCTAGCCTGGCAGGAAAATTCATGAGACTCTTAGCTCTAATTAATCACCAGAAAACCGGAAGTAGAGCGGTGGCTCAAAGTGGTAGAACCCAAGCGTTGAGCAAAAAAAAAAGCTCAAGGACAGTGCCCAGACCCTGAGTACAAGAAGCTCCAGACCTTCATGCACATACACAAAAACGTTTTTTTGTTCACTCCTGTCATAACATAATGCAGTCTGTCTGCTCTAGTAATAAATTCTGTGAGAGTGAGGAACATAATAGTCAACTCCTGTTTTAAGGCAGAGGCAAGACAGACTAAGACTGTCTCCATTCTAACAACGTTTTCCATAGTTTGCATATTGAACATTTCTGCTGAATAAACTAGAGATTTGGAATTTGAGAAGTAGAGTTACTAGAGTTCAGTAACCTAGCTGAAAATTACTAATAAGTTAGGTGAAAGGACTAGGTAGTTATTCTCTTCTGTGTCTTAGGTTCATTTCCTATAAAAATTTGTATTCCGATTCAGGTCTTATTCTGCAGAATTTAAATCCCTGACTTTATTGTTTTTATTTACAGAATATACTGATGATAATGCTCTGATTCCTAAGAACTCATCTGTAATTGTTAGAAGAATTCCTATTGGAGGTGTTAAATCCACAAGCAAGACATATGTTATGTAAGTACAAAAATCTAATAAGTTTATGTTCTCAATTCTTGAAACTATGAGGGAAAGGGGTTTGTTTTTCCTGATTTCTTCTCTGATTAAATAGTCTTGGCCTATAGTTTTTTTAAGAACTATTATTAGGACACAAGTTTACTCAGTATGGCCTGTTAACAAAAATGTATATGTCACTGGGGGCAGGTGACTCTCGCCTGTAATCCTGGCTACTTCAGGGGGCTGAGATCTGAGGGTCAAGGTTCAAAGCCAGCCTGGGCAGGAAAGGCTGTGAAACTCTTTCCAATAAACCACTCAGAAAACCAGAAGTGGCGCTGTGGTTTAAGTGGTAGAGCACTAGCCTTGAGCTGAAGAGCTGAAGGACAGTGCCTAGGCGAAGAGTTTAAGCCCCATAACTGACCCCCCAAAAAATGTATATGTTGTAAAAATCTATCTTACATATATGCCAGCATCTAGTAATGCTACTAAGATGTGCTTCTTCCCAGTAAGGGTTTTGGTTAAAAGGTCATATACTGTATTATGAGTATAACTCTGGAATTGGGCTTAGGTTTGACTCTGTTTACTGTTTTTTTGTTTTACCAATTATGTGACTAAATAAGTAACCTAAAGTCTCTGGCTCAGATTTCCCTAAGGTGAGGATCTGGATGCAGTTGGCATGCCCATATCCTTGGTTTCTGGGTCTGCAGTAACTGCAGATTGGAAAGATTATGGAGGTTGTTGCTGATAGTTACTCTGTATAGTTTAGCCTGTGGTAATTGAGTCTATACTGAACATAAACTTCCTTGTTATTGTCTTCTAAGCAAAATATAATGTGACTATTTAGATAACACTTACATTGTACTCTAGGTATAAATAGAAAAATTGCACAAGTTTCATGAAAACATATGCCATTTGATATAAGGAATTGGAGCATTGCATATTGCAATATCTACAGTGTTGTCAGTGAGAGTCCCATAGATACCTGCTCAGGTGCTTGGCAGAGGGTCATTATTGGAACAAGAACAATCTCTGTAAAGTAGAATAGAACTTATATACACTAAAGAAGCATAATTATAAACTATTTTTAAATGTTCCACTTTGAAATTTTATTTATTTTATTTATTTTTGTTTTTTTTTGGGGGGGGGGGGGCGAGGGTCCGGTCGTGGGCCTGAACTCTAGGCCTGGGCGCTGTCCCTCAGCTCTTCAGCTCAAGGCTAGTGCTCTACCACTTGAGCCACAATGCCACTTCTGGCTTTTTTTTCTGCTTATGTGGTGCTGAGGAATCGAACCCAGGGCCTCATGCATGTAAGGCAAGCGCTCTACTACTGAGCCACCTTCCCAGCCCCCTCCACTTTGAAATTTTAATAGTGACAACAGAGTTGAATATGTGACTAGGGTATCAACTTGGACTATTTTATGGTTTTGTTTGAAATTTTGACATTTTTTGAGACAGTGAAAATTTCTAGAATATACCAGACCTATTAAATGGAATGTGTTTTAGAATTAAGGTTAAATTAGACATTTCTTGGAACTTTGCCTCTTGTAGGCCATGTATTGTAACTTTTTTTGTTGGTTTTTTGTTTTTTTAGTTTGTACTAAGGTTGTATTGTATATCTTAACATTAAGAGAGTCTTGTATAATACCATTTCTATCCTAACCTAAAATGCTGAATTTTTTTTTCAATATTGTAGCTACTGAGTGATCTCAGTGGTCTGTGCTTTTAGCTTTAAGTGATTTTAAGAATCAAAATGATAAAATATCAAATATGATACCATGTGCTTTTTAAAAAAGATTAAATATTAGCCAGGCATAGTGTCACATTCCCATAATTCCAGCACTTAGGAGGCAGAGCCAAATGGTGGTTCATGATTTTTCCAGCCAGCCTGGGCTCTCTAGTGAGACTCTGTCCATAGAACAAAACAAATTATATAATATACATATATATGTACACATACATACTGTATACACACACACACATAGTATTTCTGGGGACGTTTTGATATTCCAAAGTGTGTGTGTGTGTGTGTGTGTGTGTGTGTGTGTGCGCGCGCGCGCATGCGCACGCGCGCCAGTGTGTCAGTGTCAGTCGTGGGGCTTGAACTCTGGGCCTGAGCGCTGCCCCTCAGCTCTTCAGGTCAAGGCTAGCACTCTACCACTTGATCCACAGTGCCACTTCCATTTTTCTGGTGGTTAATTGGAGATGAGTCTCATGGCCTTTCCTGCCCGGGCTGGCTTTGAACCTCGATCCTCAGATCTCAGCCTCCTCAGCAGCTGGGATTACAGGCGTGAACCACCAGCGCCCAGCTCCAAAATTCTTGAGAATGGAAATACTTGAAGTACCTGGCAAAATGAATTGCTTCCTATACAAAGTTATGTTAATTCAAACATAATTTGTTTCCTAAAATGTCTCAAGAATTTGTTGAGGGGCTGGGAAGATGGCTCAGTGGTAGAGCGCTTGCCTTGCATGCTCAAGACCCTGGGTTTGATTCCTCAGCACCACATAAGCAAAAAGAAAAAAGCCGGAAGTGGCGCTGTGGCTCAAGTGGTAGAGCACTAGCCTTGAGCTGAAGAGCTGAGGGACAGTGCCCAGGCCCAGAGTTCAGGCCCCACGACCGGACCCAAAAAAAAAAAAAAAAAAGAATTTGTTGAGCAAATTTAAGAAAATAAAAATCACAAAGCATTTGAAGGCTATTTAGGTCTCATTTCCTGTGTAAAAAAATTCTTTTTGGGTTATTTGTATATTCTTTTAAACATCAGATTGTCCATTTCTATTATAAACATTTTTAATTCAAATACAGTCCATTTCTACCTTTCAGAAAACGTTCACTGCCCCTGAATTTTTTGCTCAAGGCTAGTATTCAAGCACTTGAGGAGGAATGGCTCCATTTAAGAGTCTGAGAAGAAGTCAGATTGGATCGTTAAACATTGAACACAAATACCTAACTATAATGCCTTGTTTCATAAATGAGTACCAACTATTGTATATCCTTTCAAAGTAGGAACTTAAAAGATCATTCTAGACATTGTGCAAGTCTTGTTTCTACCTTCTCTGCATTGCTGAACAATGCTTTTTTAAAATGATGGGACAGCCAGGAAGAAAATTCTTCAACTTTCCTGCTCTTTGAATCATAATCAGATTTTAACCTCCTTCCGTAGCTAGGATTTCAGGAATGAGTCAGTTGTACCCCATTGTCAGAGTGATTTTTTTTTTTAACCACAAATGTGTACCGTAAGGTAATAAAAATCCAAGTTGTTTATTATTTCCGAAATGACTTATTTAAAGCTTTGTACTACAGGAAAGTTTAATTCCTAAGATGTGTACTACAGGAAAGTTAAATTCCTAAGATGTATGATTAAAGATAACATTGAGATTTCTAGTACAAAAATTTATAAATTACTAATGTTAGTTTCTGTTCTATTTTTTTAGAAGTCGAACTGAGCCAGTGATGGGAACTACAAAAGCAGTATGTAAAAACACAATCTCCCACTTTTTTCTACACAATGCTTTAACCTTTATAATGTTTCAGTGAAGTAAATCATTTTAGAACTTAATAACCAACTGATTTATAGTACATATTGTAAATAAAATGTATTTTGGTGACAGTTCAGTTGAACATGAATATATGTGGCATAATTTGCAGTTATTTTGTAGAAGTGGGTAATTTGTGCCCATTGCACTGTTTCATATTAAAGATGAGAGCATTCTCCCTGTATGACACTGTGTTGTACAGTACTGTATGATTCTTCTTAGATCATGTAGGTTCTACACTGATGAACATGATAACATGTTCTACATCTGTCTGTCTATAGTTAGTATTTTGTATGTATGTACAGGCTGTTGTGTGCTTTTTGTTTCTTGCAATAAAAAAATGTTTGGAGTGTATATTTTGCCATTTTCACGTTGTATCACTTAGTTTATGTTAGCTCTTTTCCTCCTTCCCCCCAGCCTTAATGATGGCTTGTAAAACTGCAGCAGCAAGCCGGGCGCTGGTGGCTCACGCCTGTAATCCTAGCTACCCAGGAGGCTGAGATCTGAGGATCACGGTTGAAAGCCAGCCCGGGCAGGAAAGTCCGAGAGACTCTCATCTCCAGTTATCTTGTCTACCTAAAAAGCCAGAAGTGGAACCTGTGACTCAAGTGGTAGAGCGCTAGCCCTAAGCAAAAAAGCTCAAGGACAGCGCCCAGGCCCTGAGTTCAAGCCCCAGGACCAGCACACACACAAAAAAAGCATTAGCAACATGCAGAGCTTATGTTAGAATTTGATGCTTTCACCAAGTTGCAACACATCTGACCATTTGAAACACCAGCTGACCACTGGTACAGCTTTATTAATCTTGCTTTATTTGGCAGTTTGACCTTCTACCCTCTTTATACCTGCACTATAAAGTGAAAACAAAATTGTTCCCTTCAGCAAGTCCCTCAATGTCTCGATTTTGATAATTTGTACAGTTGGGTGTATTGGTTTCAAAACAATGCAAGATCACTTCTACCCAATCTGTTCAAATGTCCAAATTAAACATTTTTTCTTCTTGTATTAAAATATACTAAATTGTAGGCTACTGAAAGCTGAAACTTACCAAAAGTAACTTATTCCTTTTAACCAGGAAGGAACCAGTATAACATCTTATTTTTTAATTATAAGTATAACACTATTTTCACTGTGAATTTCAAAATGTGAGGTACAATGTGTTTCAGAACACAGGTCTATCTAATTGGGTTCTGCAAACTTGGTGGTTCTCTAAACATTTTACTGCTCAGGCTTGCTATTGTATACAATGTAAGATATCTGAAATTTTCCTTTAGAATTCAAGGGTATTGGTTATACTTTTTAAGCTGATCTTTGTGTATGAGGCATTTCACTAACCCTGGATCATTGGATTTAAACATGAAAACGTAGACTATCTCAACTCTGAAATGGTTCTTTAAAGTATATGGCCTTAGTTCTGGTGGAACTAAACAGTGATTCAAAGATGAAAAGCCTTTAGTGTTTTGGGATTCTCTCCCCCTCCCCTTTTTGGGTATATAAGGTTTTTGGGGTTTTTTTTCCCTTTTTTTTTTTTTTTTTGAGCATAATGCTGTAAAAACTGTCCAAGTTTCTGTTTTGCTGGTCATTGGTTTAAAGCTGATTTTTATGTATCCAAATGCTAGCACAAATTTAGATCAACAATCCTGGTGAATGTGGTAGTGACTGTAACACATTTTGTATAAAGTACATTTTTATATAGTATTTGAAGTATGCAGATGCAGTTTTATTTCTTGAAAGCAATTATTTCCCTTTTGTTTATTAGCATGTGTATAAACACAAATCACATGTTCATAAATAAAGTTAACATTCTTTTAGCCTTGTGTGTTCCCTGGCATGTCTGTATTACATTTATAAGAAGCAGTTTTATTTTAAGCTTGCTTAGGTTTCTCTTTTCTTTCTTCTCCTTTTTTTTTTTTTTTTAATGCTTTCAAAAAGTAGCCTTGTTTTTTATGTAGAATTAAGGGAAATGGAGCTGTTAGAAACTGGTGATGTTAGATAACTTGTTATCCCCTTCTTTTATTTGTATGGGGTACATTTGCTGACATTTAGGGTGAGAATAATTAGTTTGCCTCTTAAGAAACAAAAAAGTGATGTGGTTGTACACATTCACAAAACATGAAATAGAGCCTTTGAACCAAATTTTTAATTCTGATTAGTAAGAGTATGAATATTTTTGGTGAGGCCAAATCCAATCAAAGGTGGCTATTTCTATATTCCCCAGCCTTGTTTGGTTTATGTCATCTTCCCATGCCTGGTTGTTATACTAAAGCTGAAAGCTGTATTTGCTGACTAAGGGTCTGAAATTTCATAGATTTTTTTTTTTTTATTCCACTCAGCTATAAGCATAAAAGGTTTGAGGTCCTTACTTCCAGAAACAAGACCTCCTATTTAGATATAGGGAGGTGTGTTATTTTTTGAAAACAGTATTTTACTGTTTCACTAAGAAATTTTTATGTTTTGGTATATTTTTAAACCTTTGTGAACATTTTCCATCATTTTTCACATCTTGTTATATGTAGGAAACAAGTTGATGCCTTTCTAAACTAATTTGACTTACCAGATGGGGTGCACTATAGTGGTGATTTGGTAAGGGAACATAATTAGATTCAGTTACATATCTGAAGTCACTTTAAATTCATTGAGTAAATGATACAATGGGAGTAAAAACCTAAAATGAGAGGATAAGAAAGTTCAGCACAAAGACAAGGACAATAAAATTAGGAGTAGGAAGATTTTTGTGTTGCTTTTCTAGTTCCAGCGTTAAGAAAATTAATACAATGGGTTTGTTTTTTTCTTTTTCTCTTTTGGTCCGTTGTAGGGCTTGAACTCTAGGCCTGGGCTCTGCCCCTGAGCTCTTCAGCGCAAGGCGAGCACTCTACCACTTGAGCCACAGTGCCACTTCTAGTTTTTTGGTGGTTAATTGGAGAGAGGAGTCTCACAGACTTTTCCTTCCTGGGCTGGCTTTGAACCTCAGTTCTCAGATCTCAGCCTCCTGATTAGCTAGGATTACAGGCGTGAACAACTGGCACCTGGCCTGGATTTCTTTTTTCTAAGAACACTATTAAAGCTATTATTTTGTTGGTTAGGATCCTACCATACGTGATGGTCCTTATTACTTAAATTCAGGCTATTTCTGGCCCGTATAAAATAAAATAGGTTACAATATATTTTAGATAAAAGTTGAATATGTATTTTTTTATTTCTTAATATTTGTTCTTAGATGAAAAACTACTTCAAGAACGATTGGTAGATTTTGCTGGATGAGTGCATATGAACTTTTTTTTTTTTGCCAGTGCCAGAGTTTGAACTCAGGACATCATGCTCCCATTGCTTTCTTGTTCATAGCTGGCACTCTACTACTGCATTTTACTGGCAATTTTGGGGAGGAAGTCTCTTGAGGACTTGTCTGAACATGCTGGCCTCAAACAGCCATCATCCTCCAAATCTTACACTCCTGAGTGGGATTGCAGACATGAGCCATTGGTACCCTGCTCTCATGAACTGTTGATAGTCCTTCAATGTGGAATAAAAAACCTTTTGTCTAAGCATCCCAGTAATAATTTCGGTCAAATTAACTTTAAAACTTCTATTTGTAAGACTTTTGTTTGTTTGGGGGGAGTTTTTTGTTTTGTTTTTTGAGAAGTCTGGCTGGCTTCAACTTGCCAACCCATGTTAGTCCAGGATGCTTCAAACTCCATACCTCCTGCCTCAACCTCTGAGTGCTGGGATTGGAGAAGTGTGTCACCATGCCCAGCCAAGATGCGTCTTAAATTTAGCTAACATGATTTATATTTATTGAATCATTTCTGGACTGGATAATGGCTATGGACTTCATATTAAAACTGATTCCATTTCTCTTTGAGGTCTAAATTCATACTACTTTTCCTATTCAGCTGTTTTTCTTTGATCCAGTTATCTTGTTAATATTTTCTCCATTATAAACAAGAATTAAGAAACTTATGGCATAAGAATAAACAACCTACTTATGAAGTAGGAAATTATAGGGCAATGTCTTCAAAGTTATTTCCTAAAGTTATGTATATATGATACACGGAGGTAGACTTTTTTTTGGGGGGAGGGGTCCAGTCATGGGGCCTGAACTCTGGGCCTGGGCACTGTCCCTCAGTTCTTCAGTTCAAGGATAGCGCTCTACCATTTGAGCCACAGCGCCACTCCCGGCTTTTTTCTTTTTGCTTATGTGGTGCTGAGGAATCGAACCCAGGGCCTCAGGCATGCAAGGCAAGTGCTCTACCACTGAGCCACCTTCCCAGCCCTGGAGGTAGACTTTTTTAAAAACATTGTTATAGAGGACGAAATTTATTTTTTATTTTTTTAATGGATTTTTTGTTTTAAAGCTCTCTCTTCCATATATCCTTGCTGTGTTTGGTTATATTAACTTCCTTTTTTTCGCAAGTATTAGAATCCATCATCACATATGATAACTCAATCCTTTCCCCTAGGCACCTTTATCTACCCCTCATTTTTTGTTCTTTAGGGTTTATTTTTGGCTAAACATCTTTGCCTTGATAAAGCTGTTGTTTCTTAAACAAGAAGCTATTGTTATTTATTCTTTGTGTAGGAAGATACACAATTCTCAAAAAATAATGTAGCAATTATGTGGGTGCTCTTGTTTATTAAAATAATTATGAGCCATTACAAAGCTGCTTGTTTTTACAGTGTTGATGGGGAAAATTAGAAAGATCACTTATTCTCTTGACCAGTGTAATTGTCTTGAGCAATATCAGATTTAGAGACCATTGAGAGACAGAGTTCTGAGTTTCTAGCCACCAATTTCCTGTGTGGTACACTTTCTTTACCCTGTTTTTGAATTGCAATTATGCAGTCTCCCAGAACTGACAACCTTTATAACTGGGTGTCAAGTAGTATAAGGAAGATAAAGTAGGTTGAGCTACATTTCAGACTTAAAATGCTATTCTCTAGAAAACTAAGAAAATGCCCAATATTTGAGCATTAAATGACATTAGGGCTAAAATGATCATTATCCGCTGTTTTCAGTGTGGAACTTGAATGTGTGTTTAATTTTTTATGAACAGATTGATGACTCTTCTGCATCTATTACTCTGGCCCAGCTTACAAAGGTATATATATATATATATATTCTTGAAAATATAAGTGTTTTTCTAACATTCTTTTCATGTCAACCAACTTTTTTTAAGCTGGGTTGGGGGAGGATGGGTCTTGCAAGAGCATTGTACATATTATTACTCTATAAAGAGTAGTTGCTGTTTTGAGAAGATAGGGGAATACTTGGTCAGCCTCAGCATAATGTTGGCGTATTATCATCTTCAAGACAGAAGAAACATGAAGCTACACTTAATCATTTTCCCCCCTCATACTTTTTTTTATTACACATTGGAAACTAACAAAGTTCTGGAGGAATTCCTGGTTTTGGCTGTAAATTATGTGGACTTTAAGCGGCCAAAACTGAAGATTTCCTTCACCTGGACGATTGCTTGGCTATTTCTTGAATATTTGAATATTTGAATTGAGCCCCATGAAGGTCAATATACTGAATGTTGTTTCTTATGCTATATCTATAGACTTGTAGTCTGTCTGCCTTAGAAAAAGTTTTTAAACAACCTAATTTGTTTGAACACAGACTACAGGAATTGTGTAAGTGTATAAAGTTGTTTACAGAAGTATACCAATTTGTATGTTTGGCAGAGAGGCAAGTTGTTAACCTCCTGAAACCATTGTATGTGCCATGTTCTGCGATAAGATTGCGTGCATTTTCTGCTCTACAATGTGTATTGTTTGTTTGGGAAAGCACTAGTGATGGATTGCTTTTTAAAATAATACATTTAGCTTACAAATTGTGCCTTATAATAAAAGAACAGGCAGACTTTTTGAGAGACAAGAAGGAAACTGTCCATTATTCCAGAAACCCTTTTTTCTCCCCACTGTCAGATACATAAAGGATGGTTTTCCGTTAGGGTTGTCCCTCCCTGTCTTGTCCTTGCTGTATTATACATAGGCTGTGTCCTTTTCTCCTATACCATAACCCCAAAGTGCCCTAGAAGATAGTTCTTCAGCTCTTGTACTAGGAACACTGAACATTAAAACTGAGACAAGTATACTAAAACCATCCTATTTTATGGTTTTTCTAAAGCAGAGTGGTTTAGCAAGAGTTAACCTAACATCTTTACCAGTTTATATATAGTATACTGTTTTTATGTACTGTTAAGGACCATATTTGAGTCTATTCCTACCATTGTTTCTTTGCTGGGAAGAATTGGGGAGTTTTGGAGGTTTGGGGGATTCTTTTTATTATTTTTAAAAGCTTATTTGTAAAATAATTTTTGGGTTCAAACAAATTAGTTGTTAAACATCTGTAATTCAGTTTTCTGTAAACGTTGCTGTTCTAAGCTCTGTTAATGTTAAGCATTCTTTTGTATATGAAATTACAATAAAATGTTAAAACTGGTTGCTTGTTTTGTGGATGAATGCAAAGATAAAACCCAGTGAGTGGATGATGTGAGTGCTAGATGCTTGAGGATTCAAGTTATTAGAAGTCACTCTCTTAGACTCTGCTTATATCTACATTGTGTTTTATATTTTGTAGATGAAGTTCATAAAATTTAGAGAATAGAATCTAAGTGATGAATGCTTAATGCACATCCCTTATACTTAGCCTGAAATTGACCTTACAACTTAGTGACTTCTGACTGCATATAATATGCTCAGTTGTCTGCCCCTTTCCTTGCCCTCAAGGTTGTAAGTGTAAATGAACAATCTCCATGTTGTGACACTTGAAATATTTTTTAAGATTTAAGAACATCAAGTGTTTCCCTCTGAACTTAGTGTTTAAATCTTAGAGCAAGTGTGCAAATTCTAATGTATAAGCAGGGTCTAAGGCTAGAGTGCCCTCAGAATGGTTCTTCAGCCTCCCACATACCCCCCAGACATCATGTAACCACCTAAAGAATTCCCAGTGCCTCTTCCAAGTTTACAAGGCTAGTCTAGAAACTGCTCTTTGCAGGATGAGTGGTGTTGTCTTTCACTGTGTGGTCTTAAATGTGTTTCTAATGTGTGTGTCAAATAATTACCTGTTAAACAGACCGCCAATCTGGCTGAAGCCAATGCTTCTGAGGAAGATAAAATTAAAGCAATGATGTCGCAATCTGGCCATGAATACGACCCAATCAAGTAAGTTCAGAAATAGTTTATACTGATAGGAATTTTAGGGGTGGATTCCCTCCCCCCCCCCCCCCCCCCAATCAAAAGCATTGTTTTAAGTTTTTGTTTATATGTAATTTTTTTCTTCTTCCAGTTACATGAAGAAACCTCTAGGTCCACCACCTCCATCTTATACCTGTTTTCGTTGTGGTAAACCTGGCCATTATATTAAGAATTGCCCAACAAATGGGGTAAGTCCAAAGGAAAAATTATGCTATAATTTCTTAGGAATATTTTTATTTTTATTTTTGTGCTTGTCCTGAGGCAGTTGAACTTAGGCTTGGGTACTGTCCCTGGGCACTGTGCTTAAACGACTAGTGATCTACCACTTGAACCACAGCTCCACTTTCTGCTTTTTTGTGGGAAGAGGAGGTTAGTTGAAGGAGAGTATCATAGACTTTCCTGCTGGGGTTAGCTTTGAACCTTAATGCTCAGATCTCAGCCTCTTGAGTAGTTAGGAATACAGGCATGAGCCACCAAAGCCCAGCTAGGATTATTTAAAAACAGCATAACCTCTGGAGCCAAATTTTTGCCAGGTTTCATGTCTGGGTTTTTCATTTACTAGAGTAAACTTAGGCGAGGTATTTCATCTCTCCAAATTTGCTTTTTTTTTTTTTTTTTTTTCTTTTCTGAACTGGAGATGTAAGGATTAAGTGAGGGCATATATAGTAAACATTATAACTAAGTAGTAAATGCTACACAAAATTAATAACAAATGACTCTAATTGCTTTTCTGTTCTTCTTTTCCATCCACACAGGATAAGAACTTTGAATCTGGTCCTCGGATTAAAAAGAGCACTGGTATTCCTAGAAGTTTTATGATGGAGGTGAAAGATCCTAACATGAAAGGTGCAATGCTTACCAACACTGGAAAATATGCAATACCCACAATAGATGCGTAAGTATACAAATTAGTTATCACTTGTGCAGACCACCATCAGTGCCAGGATGTAGTGATTTATCTTGGGCTTACAACTTGGCTCTGTGGATTCCTTGCAAACTTTGTACACCAGAATGAGTCTGCCCATTCTGCATTTCTTATCAAGATTAGAGGCTACAGTCAGCTACATTTAAGCAGATTCCTAAATGGATTTGGGGGTTTGTCATCACTGAGTGCCACTTCCCTTGTAGTCTTCTAAACTCTTCTTTTCTGTCATTTTCTGCTTTCTTTCTCATTTACATACATGCTCCCACATTATCTTATATGTTATTTCCATTTCCCAAGTGGACAAAACAGACATAATTTTTAAGAATAAAAGCTCTGCAAACTGGGCATGGTTGTACATACCTATAATCACAAATTACTCAGGAAGCAAAGACAATGATTTAAGTTCAAATTAGCTCTAGTGCAAAAATAGCTAGGAGACTGTCTCAAAAAAACTCTAGATAGGCAAATTTACGTACAAAACATAAATGAAATGCTAATTAGTATTGAGACTTCTTTTTTTTTGTACCAGTACTGGGGCTTTGAACTACTCCAAGGCCTTCTGCTCACTTTTTCACTCAGGGCTGACACTGTGAGCCACCAGTGCCCTATTCCCATGGAGTCTTAATATTTTGAAGTTGACTTTATTTTTCATGCAGGCTATAGAGCTATAAAACACTTTAGTGCATATCTTTAATATGTTCTCAATTTCTGTGAGCCATTGTTTTATCAAAGGATTAAGACATACATGAAAGTCGAGTGGCATGGTTCAACATAACTTCCCACTTTTATCTTCTCTTACTAATTATTATGATTATCTTTTTGACTGCCTTCACAGTATAGATATAAATGTTATTAAATGTTTCTTCAGTCTGTGCTTCTAAGTTCTTAGCCATGAGCTCCTAGTTTTTTTTTATTTAGAGGTGTACAATCCTGATTCTGCATTTTAAAGAAGCCTTCTAGGAAATTGTGAAGTTGAGACCTTCAGGATGAACTTTGAGAAACATCCAGTTGGAGAATAGGTATCCATGTTTTTAATGATGAGAAAAAAGAAAACTGTAAGACCATAGTTTCCTTCAGCTTCAGGCATAATTGTTGGCCTAGTAACTAGGTGAGGGTGGTAAATATTGGCTATGCTATGGAGTGATACTGAAAAAAATACCCTGTATTTGGAAGTGTACATTTCTGTATGTAGTGTTCAAGTCCACAAATGAGACTTTTCCTGAACTCCTAGTCCTCACCTCCACTTCACCCCATCTGCTTAATCAGTCACTTTCCTGTCTCTGTGAATCATCTTAGAGGAGTCTGTTAATGCTGTTTGTAACTCAGACATTTCGTAGACCCTTCCAAACATTGTCAGGTTGAAATTGATAACTTTTGCAGTGAGTAAGAGCAGACCATCTTATCTATACTATGTAAAATTTTTAATAATAGAAGTTTGTATTGGAAAAGTTAACATCACCCATGAACCCTAACAATAATTAACTTCATTGCTTTAGAGTGATGAAATACAGAAAGCCCATTTGTGTCAACCATACAAATGGCAAGTACTGGGGAGAGATGGGAGCCCAGATATTTTAAATGAAACTCACCCTCTCCACTAACACCACTGATAAGCAACTTAGACTCTTCTGTTTCTTTTTCTATCCTGTTCTCCTTTTTTTTTTTCCCCCCTTCTTTTCTTTTCTCTCTTTTGGGCAGTGGGAGACTCCTCTTTCACAAATTGGGAACAGTGGGGCATAAGCAAATTGATACTTATTTCTGGAATCGTGGTGATGTCTATGGAGCAACTGCAACACAAATAACACACCTAAGGTACCCTACTCTGTATAGCTGAGATTCTTTCATTTTCAGCATTGAGATAAACACATGAAATAGAAAGGATTTCTCTAGAAATTCTTTGACTTACAAATTTGAGTACAGAGAAGTTGGAAATATGTAAGCAGGGTTGACAAGTCTGAGATAGTTTTTTTTTATTTTTAATATATTCTCAACATTTTTGCAAAAATCCTAATGAGGTGTTACTCCATACTTTGCTAACACGCATTCAGTCACTTTTTGTAATATGTATTCAACTATTAAATCACATTTCTTAGCTGAATAGTAATTACAGGTAGACACAGGTTTTTAGAGTCTCATTCTATTGCATGTAGCAATGGTTTCCTTTGAGCTAGTTCTTAATTACATAATGTCAATCATATTTTTTCACCTTGCAACATTTAGTCTAATACCTTTACTGGTTTTAGAAACTATGGCAATATGGAGGAGGAATTTTTTTGTTAGTTGCTTTTCAAGAAATATGGTAGGGTAGGTAAAAATTGTGATTAGCATATTCTCTAAGTTAAACTCCATGCCAACTAAGTAGAACATGATGGCATTGAGTGTTGCTTTACCTCTCTGGCCTCAGTTCTTAGAGTTAGGATTCCAAGAACGTTTTAACTACTTTTATAGTATTTCTTTTGGTTATATTTGTTTAGAGTTATGTTCTGTGTCTCATTTGTGTAGGAGGTTGTATACAGCTGCCCCCTTTGGGGAATTATGCTTATCTACACTAATTGTACTGAATTGTGTTCTTGTGATATAGTAGAACACGGAGTATGAATGCTTTGCCACTGTAGCTGTCTTACAACACTGAAACCTTCTTTTACAGAGAGGCGTATGCAATCGGGAAGAAAGAGAAACCACCCTTCCTACCAGAGGAGCCATCCTCTTCGTCAGAAGAGGATGATCCCATCCCAGATGAATTGCTGTGCCTCATCTGCAAAGACATCATGACTGACGCCGTTGTCATTCCCTGCTGTGGAAACAGTTACTGTGATGAGTGTAAGAGAGGCTGAACCCTTGAAGACACTATTAGGAGCATTTATATTTGCTTGGAAAGGCTCTGAACCAACACTGTGTATTTTAATAATAAAATACAAAATGTTGATAATAAGTGTTGATCTATGAGCGTTAATAGTGAGAGGGTTGGGATTTTCTTTCTCTTTCTGTCTTTTTAAATAGATAATGTTTTCTACATGTTTTACAAAGTATATAAAATTCTAACCTTTTGTGGGGCTTAGTTCCTCACGAATTCTTTTTAAATCCCTTTTCTGCATTATGAACAGTAGCTTATTCTGAACTTCATAAGCATATGATAATTTCCTGTAAACAGACTAGATCACTTAAATTAGCTTTTAGTTCTTTTCTGCCATTTACTTTAGATGTTTCTTCTTACTCAGAAGAAAAAAATGCTCTTACCCGAAAACTTCACTGTTCTAACCTGCTTGGTTTTTGTTTTACTTCTGAAGGTAGTTTTGGGACCATTGTATAGAGACCTCTTCAAGGATAAGAGTTTTTCAAGCTATGGTTTGAACGTATGGCTTAGATTTATTCATTGGAGCATGAGCCGTGAATCTTAGTATTTCTCTTAACTGTGTTATGGGCAATTCACTTCCCTGATTCATGCTTTCATGCTTTCCCCACCCCCTTCTTTTTTCCCCTCTTCTCCCCCTCTCCCCTCCCCCACCCCAGTATTAGGGTGTTAACTCAGGGTTTTGTGCTTGAAATGTGTGTGAGCTACCATTTGGGCCACACCTCTGGCCCTCTTTTGCTCTGGGTTTTTTTGTTTGTTTTTTGTCAGTCATGGGGCTTGAACTCTGGGCCTGAGTGCTCTCAGCTCTTGAGCTCAAGGCCTAGCACTTTACCACTTGAGCCACAGTGCCACTTGTGGTTTTGTGGTGGTTTATTGGAGATTACTGTCTCATGGACTTTCCTGCCTAGGCTGGCTTTGAACTGCAATTCTCAGATCTAAGCCTCCTGAGTAGCTAGGATTACAGGCATGTGCCGCCAGTGCCCAGTGTTGCTCTGGTTATTTTTGCAAGAGTGTCCAGCTGGTCTGGACCTTGTTCTTTACTGTTAATGTTCCCCTTCTCCCCATCTCCTGTTAGGATGACAGGTTCATTCCATTGTATGCAGTTATTTTTGTGTTGAGATGGGGTTTTTGCCCCATCCAGCTCCTGATCTCAGCCTCCTACTAGCATTACAGGCATGAGCCACCATTTCTGGCTTAATACTTTTCACACTTGGCTTTAACACTTTATTTTTTATACCCTATTCTTTATTTATGCTTTTTCAAAAACTGCGCCATGTAAAGTTTTTGTCACTCTTTGTACACTACCTCTTGTTTTTTTTCTGCAGTATCTTACTACACAAAGACTAACACTTCAGAGAGAGAGTTTTTGTTTCAGTGTGTCTGAAGAATACCAGGGATTGAACTCAGGTCTTCAATACTTGCTTGGCTTGCCTTGGGTGGTGTCTATCACTGATCATGCCTGTAGCCAAACTGACTTTTTGCTGCTAGTATTTTGGGAATGGAGTCTTGAGATTAGTTTCAAACCACCATCCACTGCATCACAGCTTCCTGAGCTATAATTACAGATAGGAACCACCAGCACCTAGCCAGTATTTGTCTTCGATTTAATAGCTTGGATCATAGAGAAAAATTAAAGCTGGGTTTGGGGAAAACAACAAGGGGACTATCTTAAGTGTGTTAAGTTTCTCTTTTTAAGTTTTAGGGGTTTATTTTAGTGTAACATTAAAATAAGGAGAAATAGAAAAAAGGAAACATTTCCGCTTCTCGTGCAGGAAGTGAATGTTAAAGGCTCAAAATGGCAGTTTCTGTCCATAGTTTTTCCTTTCTGAGTTGGGGGAATACATACAGTCATGTCATATATTGATTCCTAATCCTTAGATGATATATCTTAAATTCCTTAATCTAAGGAGTACTTTATGTGCTTGGGAAACTGAATAGGTATAGGGTGTCCTTTTCACTCATTCTATAAACACTGAGTTCCTATTATTAATATTTAAAAATCTTATTACCTAGGTATAAGAACAGCACTCTTGGAATCAGATGAACATACATGTCCAACATGTCATCAAAATGATGTATCTCCTGATGCTTTAATTGCCAATAAATTTTTACGACAGGTAGCTATGTTTGTATTCCTATTATGAAAAAAAAAGCCTCTTCACCAATTTAACTGTTATTTAAGTGAATACTGCATTACACATTTTGCATTTCTGTTTGGTACTTGTAGGCTGTTAATAACTTCAAAAATGAAACTGGTTATACAAAAAGACTACGAAAACAATTACCTCCACCACCACCCCCAATACCACCTCCAAGACCTCTCATTCAGCGGAACCTGCAGCCTCTCATGAGGTCTCCAATATCACGACAGCAAGATCCTCTGATGATTCCAGTGACGTCTTCATCGGCTCACCCCGCTCCCTCAATATCTTCATTAACTTCCAACCAATCCTTGGCCCCTCCTGTACCTGGAAGTGCATCTAATGCCCCAGCTCCTGTACCTGATATAACCGCAACAGTGTCCATATCAGTCCATTCAGAAAAGTCAGATGGACCTTTCCGGTAAGTCTACCTGGGTGTTCCTCCTTGGTAGAAAACAAATGAGGCCAGTGATACCAGTTTTTGATTGTGTACTGCCAAACGCCTTTTTTTTTTAATTGCTATTAGGTGATTACATAAATTTCACAGTATTGTGGAATAGTGAATACTTAAAGTTAAAAACCCATTTTAACCTTCACAAGGCAAATTGCCATTATGGTCTATAAAGTCTCTGAATTCTATGAGCTTTGACAATACAGTTATTTCTTACACATCAGGTGATATTTACATTTCTTTCCTTTTGCTTAGTATAAGCTGTTCCTTCTTTCCCCCTCATTCCTTCCATCCTATCACTCTGTTTGGGTTGCTTAGTTCATTTTCGTCTATGCCCAGTGCAGCTGATGGTGCCAAATGCTTTTTGGTGGACTGTTGTACTCAGTAAGTTGGAATGACTTGTAAGAAACGGTTTATTCTTGGTGAAGCATGCTGGCAGTTCCAGCATTCAAGGAAGAGACGGGGAATCAAGAGATTTGTCTCAAAAACCCTAAAAGAACTTAGTCTTAGAGAAGAAGAGGCAATAACAGTAATTCTTCTGGTATGTGATGATTAAGCAAGTTGCCAGTAAGTAAAATTTTCTCTTAGATGTTGAGTGTTGTAACAGAACTGCACTTCAGAGGTACAAGATTTCATAATGATCATAAAGATGGAAAGTAAATTTGAGCAGGAGTGAAAACAGGTAAAGAAGATTGATAGAATTGATACAAAGGTTAGGCATAATTGTTCTAGACTAGAATTGTAGAATAGTGAAGACAGACTAAAATCCTATTCAGAAATGAAAGAGTCCTTTGACATGTAAGTCTGATGCATCATACATTCTTTTTTTAAAAGAAAAGTCAACCAGCTTTTTAAAAATAGACATTGGAGCCTGTTTCTGATATTGAAACGAAGTCTTTAGAAAAAGACTTACATAATTATACTTAAGAAATCCCACTGGTCTAATATAACCTTGTATTTGGTTGATGAGTAGTAGTGTCTATAGACACAGTATAGATAATGAATTGTTTCTTGTATGTATATGTGCTAGTGCTGGAACTTGAACTTGGGGCCTTTCCCTCCTGAACCTCAGCCCCCAGCTCTCAGCTCTCTGAGTAGCTAGGATTACACACGTGTGCTGCTAGTGCCAAAATATTATGTCTCTTATCTAAGATTAGTTTAGCGGTGGTGTCAAAGCAAAAATTTACCTTTTTTTTTTTTTCTTTTTCTTTTTCTGTAAGACAAAGGTTTGCTGATAGAGCCAGGGTCTTGATACCTAAGCTTCCTAAGTGCTTGGATGATAGGGTGATAGGCATGCCACCACCATGCACCGTTCTTTAACTTACTCTTAATCCCATTCTTTTTGTCTTCATGTAGTCCACAATGATACTTGTTTTACTGTTTTTGTAGTATCTAGCATATCTATCATGTAGTTCTTGATAAGGCAATTTCTTCTCATTTCTCTGCTTGTGCATAAGGAGCTCTCTCAAGGTGTGCACTCTTCTCTTTTTACCATCTTTCATGTAGCTCATCTCAATGCAATGGCTAATGCAATAATGGATAGTGCTTGCTCTTACTTGTACTCTTTATCTCCCACATCTGATGACATTTTAACATATTACAAATTTCACTGTTTCTAGGGACTCTGATACTAAATTACTGCCGGCTGCAGCCCTTGCTTCAGAACATTCAAAGGGAACCTCCTCAATTGCACTTACTGCTCTTATGGAAGAGAAGGTACATTTTACTTCTCTAAAAATTGTTTTTAAGGATTTCATGGTTTAACTATCATTCCCCTGGCTGTTTTTTTAACCCTCTTTGTGGTTATTCAGGGTTACCAGGTGCCTGTCCTTGGAACTCCATCTTTGCTGGGACAGTCATTATTACATGGACAATTGATCCCTACGACTGGTAAGTAAAATTGTTTGGATTTGAACCGTTTTTCCCCTTTAGAAAATAATTCTAGAGTCAGGTACCAGTGGCTCATGCCTGTAATCCTAGCTACTCAGGAGGCTGAGATCTGAGGATCATGGTTGAGAGCCATCCCAGGCAGAAAGTCTATGACTCTTATCTCTAATAAATGACTCAGAAAAAGCCAGAAGTGGGGCTGTGCTTCAAGTGGTAGAGCGCTAACCTTGAGCAAAAGAAGCTCAAAGCTTGGAGGCAGTGCCCAGGCCCTGAGTTGAAGCCCCAAGACTGGCAAAAAGAAAAAGTAATGTTTAGTTTTTTTTTTTTTTAACGTGCAAGTTTATATTTACAGTTTTTGTTTTTATTTGTTTTTAAGGCCCAGTAAGGATAAATGCTGCTCGGCCAGGTGGGGGTCGACCAGGTTGGGAACAGTAAGTATATTTAAAATAAACCTCACATAATTAATTACTTTTGAACTAGATAGTGAAAACTACAAACTAAGGATATTTCTGAATCTTCTTTTTTTTTTTTTTAATTTTTTTGCCAGTGCTGGGGCTTGAACTGGCCTAGGCGCTGTCCCTCAGCTGCTTTTGCTCAGGATTAGCTCTCTAGCACTTGAACCACAGTGCCACTTCCAGCTTTTTCTAAGTAGTTTATTGGAGATAAGAGTCGCAAGGACTTCTGCCCTGGCTGGCTTCCAACCTGTTATTCTCAGATCTCAGCCTCCTGAGTAGCCAGGATTATGGTTGTGAGCCACAGGCAACAAGCGGCTGTTTTTTGTTTTTTGATTTTTTTTAAATAAGCCAGAATAATTAGTCTTTACATGCCAGAATAATACTATTTATGTAAAATACTAGTTATATGAGGAATTCTTTTGTGAAAAAAAAGAGTGTAGGTGACCCTTGAGTGACTTGGTGATAATGGGCACTGACCTCTACACATAATTTTTTTGTTTTCTGTAGTTTGGAGGGTTTTGTTTTGCTTTTTGTTGTGAGGGGTCAGTCCCAGGGATTTGCACATACTAGCCTTAATGCTCCGCTGCTTTATCAGTTTGCTGCTGACCTTACCTCAGTAATGTGTATAGTTGATTGACATACATTTTGTATGTGATATGAGCTATCTATATAGTGGAAAAATATGCTTACATGGAAGTTATTACCTCGTGTGTGTGTGTGTGTGTGTGTGTGTGTGTGTGTGTGTGTGTGTGTGTGTGTGTGTGTGTGTGTGTGTGTGTGTGTGTGTGTGTGTGTGTCTTTCAATTTGTTTTTATGTATTGGGGTGTTTGGGGAAGGACAATATTGGAGTTTGAACCCAGGGCCTTGTGCTTACTAAGCAAGTGTGGTACCATGTGATCTACAATCCCCAACCTTTTTTGGCTAGTCCTGGGGCTTGAACTCAGGGCCTGGGCACTGTCCCTGAGCTGCTTTTGTTCAAGGCTAGCACTCTATACTTGACCCACAGTGCCACTTCTGGCTTTTTCTGTTTATGTGGTACTGAGGAATCAAACCCAGGGCTTCATGCATGCAAGGCAAGTGCTGTACCACTAAGCCACATTCCCAGCCCAACACCAGCTCCACTCTTGGACAATGATCAATCGTCTTCTTAACTTAAATTTCCCACATAGCTGGGATTATAGACACCTGCCACCTGGTCCAGCTTGTTTGTTGAGATATAGGAATCTTGATAACTTTTTCCTTGGCTGGTCTGAAACCATAATCCTCCCAATCTCTGATTTCTGGTAGCTGGATTACAGGTTTGCACCACCATGGCAGCCTTACCCGGTGTTTAAGGTGGGTACTTTGCAACATTTGAGGTCACTGTAGTAACAGGTACCATCAGAATAATAATAACACAAAATGTACTACAGTTAGTTTTTACCATTAGTATGTAATACTACATTTGTAGTAATATAGTAATGTAGTAATTCTACATGTAATTCTATATTTGTCTATATTTCTCTTGACTGCATGGAATTATGTATAGTTAGTAAATTTTGATAAATTTAACTTTTAATAAGATTTTTGTATATTTTGAGGTAATAAATGAAAAAATAGACTGTTACCTACATACTTCTCTGTATTCATTATGTACCGTAAGTTTTTAGTATTTTTAGGCTATGCAGTTTGCCCTTAAGTTTTTCATATTGTTCCAAATCTCCAAATGAGTCCATAAAGCAGACCCATATAAGAACCATATTGTTTAAGGTTCACTTGTAATTATTTTCCAACATAGTAAAAATAATTATAAAACTTCTTTCTGCTTTGATCTTAATAAATGGGGGTCTTGACGGATCTGTGTAGGTGAATGATAGTTTTCAAGCAATTCTTGTGTTCCTAAAACAGTTTCTTAGTCTTAGTTTGGATGGTCAAAATTTTACCACACACAGGAATAGCAAATGAGGAAAGTGTTGTCTTGTTGCATGTAAAAATCTACACTGTATGATTTTCTGCCTTAAAATGCCAAAAACTTTATCAATGGAATATTTCATGGCATTAAAAATCAATTGACTCATGTAGTGCCTTTGTCCTTTATACAGCAATGTCTGTGAGACTAAAATGCTGAAACTTTGATCATTTTGTTTGAAAAATAAAGTATATTTCTGGTGGAGAAATATGCTAATTGTCAATGGGAAGAACATAGGTCTTAGAGACTGGTAGACCTGGCTCCTCCATTTACCAGCACCTTGACTGTGAGCAGAGCATGTGGTTTTTCCCTCAACCTCCATTTCCTTCACTGTAGAACTGAAATGGTGATGCCTACTTAACGTATAAATATCTGTGTTTGGTGCCTTTAAAAGGCCCCTTCTCCTTTAACTATAAAAAAGCTCCCAGAGAAACTCATAGAATACTAATTAGCATTACAGAAACTGTTTTGTATTGAGATTTAGTCATTCTTACCAAGTTAATAAGAAAAAGGAGGTAATTTTAAGGAAATGTTTAATTTTAAGCCAATGTATACTTTCTCAGATCTCCTGTCTGGGAAAAGTTTAAAGAATCATGGAATAGGAACAGGTTTTCAGAATAATTAAATACCTTAAATTCTGTCCCTGAAAGGCTGTGTATGTTCTATACTTATGGAGAAATCTTCAAGCCTGTTATCTGTTTTTCCCCTGCATAGTTCGAACAAGCTTGGATATCTGGTTTCTCCACCACAGCAAATTAGAAGAGGGGAGAGGAGCTGCTACAGGTAGGCTTAAATCTCAGAAAATGGTAATCTATTTTATAACACATTAAAATATATACAGAGGAATTTAAAGCACAGTCTGGAGGGGAGGGGAGGTTGTTTGGTTTATTTGTCTCTCAAGTCTTCAGTAGTTAGCTGCCCTTAAAATGCCTAGAAAAGAGTAAATCACATTTAGGATTTTTTTTTTTTTTTCCCGGTCGTGGGGTCTGAACTATGGGCTAGGGCGCTGTCCCTGAGCTCTTCAGCTCAAGGTGAATGCTCTATTGCTTGAGCCACACAGCACCACTTCCAGTTTTCTGGCAGTTTATTGGAGATAAGAGTCCACAGACGTTCCTGCCTGGGCTGACTGAACCGCAATCCTTAGATGTCAGCCTCCTAAGTAGCTAGGATTACAGGCATGAGTCTCCAGCATCCAGCTCCCCCAGTTTAATAGATGTCTCCTAAATTTAATAGTTGTCTCCTATTGCTCCATTGAACCTTGTAAGCTTGAAAGTTAACAACTGGGGCTGGGAAGGTGGCTCAGTGGTAGAGTGCTTGCCTCACATGCATGAGGCCCTAGGTTCAATTCCTCAGCACCACATAAGCAGAAAAAAGCCAGAAATGGCTCTACAGCTCAAGTGGTAGGGCACTTGCCTTGAGCTGAAGAGCTGAGGGACAACGCCTAGGCCCAGTGTTCAGCCCCCACGACCAACCAAAAAAAAAAAGTTAACAACTGCTTCATTACTAGATTGCATATTAAAAGAGGGTAGTAGTTACCATTCATGGCTTTCAAAGTCCATTCTGCTCTTTTGCCCATAATTGAAAGAACTTGAACGTAACAGAAAGAAGCTTGCTTGGCTTCTTCATGAGGCACAATTCAGACATATCAACCAGCACTGTTGATTTTACTTAGCCCTTTGAGAGACAGCATTAAGATTTTCAGTTGATTACAATACTAAAATTAGTCATCTTTGCTTTTAAGTTTTGGGTCTTTTTGTTTGTTTTCTTTTTTGCTTTTGAGGTAGGACTTCTGTGTGAGCTTAGGCTGATCTGGAACTGCGGTCCACTGGTCCTTCCCACCCACTTACGCCTACCAAGTTGCTGGACTACTGGTGTGGGCCACCATGTCCAACTTTTTTTCGGTTGGCCTTAGGACTTGAATTCAGGGCCTAGGCACTGTTCCTGAGCTCTTTTGCTCAAGGCTAGCACTCTACCATGTTGAGCCACAGCTCCATTTCTGGTTTTCTGGTTGTTAATTGGACTTTCTGCCAGAATTGGCTTTGAACTCCAGTTCTCAAATCTCAGCCTACTTAGTACCTAGGATTATAGGTGTGAGCCCCCAGTGCTCAGTCCAGCTTTTTTGGTTGGTGGTTGTTAAATAGGGTTCCATTTCCAAATATGTGAGATCTATACCTCAATATTCACTCTATTGTGTTTATGTTTGAAAATAGTGATCACTAGACAAGCCTGCTTGTTTTTGGTGAACTTAAAGGAATAATTTATCTTGAAATTTATTTCTCCAGAAGTATAAATCGTGGGCGACACCACAGCGAAAGATCCCAGAGGACTCAAGGCCCATCACTACCAGCAACTCCAGTCTTCGTACCTGTTCCTCCACCACCTCTGTATCCACCTCCCCCCCACACGCTTCCTCTACCTCCAGGTGTTCCTCCCCCACAGTTTTCTCCTCAGTTTCCGCCTGGCCAGCCGCCTCCTGCTGGGTATAGCGTCCCTCCTCCAGGGTTTCCACCGGCACCTGCCAACTTATCCACACCCTGGGTATCATCAGGAGTGCAGACAGCTCATTCAAATACCATCCCAACAACACAAGCACCACCTTTGTCCAGGGAAGAATTCTATAGAGAACAGCGGCGACTAAAAGAAGAGTAAGCATTTCGGTTTCAAATTCTTATACGCTTTTTTCCATTTTCTGATATAACATGAATATAGGTGTCTTTGGAAACATTTTCCAGTGTTTCCAGTTAGTACAAGAAAATTCACCTAAATTTAAACCAATGCCATACACGCAACTTCCTCAGGGATGCCTAGTTATTTACAGTTTTAAAGTGAAAAACTAATGGCAATTTCATTCATTTCATTCATTATCTAATTACATTTGTCTTGTTAGTTTTCTTAAATGGTTTTTGTTAACTTTCACTCTTTAACTTTATTTTACTAGGGAAAAGAAAAAGTCCAAGCTAGATGAGTTTACAAATGATTTTGCTAAGGAATTGATGGAATACAAAAAGATTCAAAAGGAGCGTAGGCGCTCATTTTCCAGGTTAGTGTTTTGCAAGCCTTCACAACAGAATTACAAATGGGACTTTGAATATCCAGGGATTAGCTATGGATATAAATAACACTGCACTTATGAACATTTTCCGATTCGGTCTAGTTTATAGAAGTGGACATGTACTTATTTCCCAATGTCTGTTTATTGAAATAATGTCTCAGTGTACATTCTATTGTGTAGCACTAGCAGTTATGGGGATTTCCCTTGTCCCTTAGCACATTACCTATCATATGAAGTAACTGGGAAATGTTTGTAGGAGAGACATAGGGGATTAGCAGCAAACATTTCTGAGGACCCTTTACCATAAGGCTACAGCTTCTTGCTGGAACATTAACCTGTGTGATTGCAAAGTAGTGGTAGACTAAAAATTGCTTTCGTAGAAAAAAACTGAATTATAAAGATTCCCTGGAAGTTTGTTTAAAAGTTGTTTTTAAAGTTAGACTTGACCAGCATAGGATATAATATGAACTCCCCCTGTTTAAGTGATCAGATAGGAAGTGAAATTAAAATTTAATTGGCATTTTGTTGAATGAAATAAGCTCATATAACTCATGGTACATTAATGCACTCCACTCGGATTGCAAGGACTTCACTTTTGCTTTGTAACAAGTAATTGCCCTGATTCGTGACCTTTATTCCATCCCCATAGAGGTCACTGTGCCTCGTTAGTCATTCAAAACTAAACTTGGTGTAAAGATAAAAGCGTGAGAGGAGAATGTTAGAACCTAAGAGCCTGTATTTTGTTTTGTATGTATTTCTCAACTATCAATTGTTTTTGTTTTTAGGTCTAAATCTCCCTATAGTGGTTCATCATATTCAAGAAGTTCATACACTTACTCTAAGTCAAGATCTGGTTCAACACGTTCACGTTCTTATTCTCGATCCTTCAGCCGCTCACATTCTCGTTCCTATTCGAGATCACCTCCATACCCCAGAAGAGGCAGAGGCAAGAGTCGAAATTACCGTTCTCGGTCTAGATCGCATGGATATCATCGGTCTAGGTCCAGGTCACCCCCATATAGACGATACCATTCACGATCGAGATCTCCTCAAGCATTCAGGGGCCAGTCTCCCAACAAGCGTAATGTACCTCAAGGAGAAACAGAGCGTGAATATTTTAATAGATACAGAGAAGTTCCACCACCTTATGACATGAAAGCATATTATGGGAGGAGTGTTGACTTTAGAGACTCATTTGAGAAAGACCGTTACCGAGAATGGGAGAGAAAATACAGAGAATGGTATGAAAAGTACTACAAAGGGTATGCTGCTGGAGCACAACCTAGACCCTCAGCAAACAGAGAGAACTTTTCTCCAGAGAGACTTTTACCTCTCAATATCAGGAACTCACCCTTCACAAGAGGCCGCAGAGAAGACTATGTTGGTGGACAAGGTCATAGGAGTCGAAATATAGGTGGCAGTTACCCAGAAAAGCTTTCAGCCAGAGACAGTCACAATCAGAAGGATAACACAAAATCAAAAGAGAAGGAGAGTGAAAATGTTCCCGGAGATGGCAAAGGAAATAAACACAAGAAGCACAGAAAAAGAAGAAAGGGAGAAGAAAGCGAAGGCTTTCTGAACCCAGAGTTATTAGAGACGTCTAGAAAATCCAGAGAACCTTCAGGTGTTGAAGAAACTAAGACAGATACATTATTTGTTCTCCCAAGTAGAGACGATGCTACACCTGTTAGGGATGAGCCAATGGACGCAGAATCCATCACTTTTAAATCCATGTCTGAAAAAGACAAGCGAGAAAAAGATAAGCCAAAAGCAAAAGGTGACAAGACCAAACGGAAAAGTGATGGGTCTGCTACATCCAAAAAAGAAAATGCTGTCAAACCCACTAAAGGACCCCAAGAAAAGCTAGATGGGGAACGTGAAAAATCTCCTCGGGCTGAACCTCCGCTTAAAAAGGCCAAAGAGGAGGCTCCAAAGACTGATGCTGCTAAACCATCATCGTCGTCGTCCTCTCAGAAGGACGAAAAGGTCCCTGGGACCCCCAGGAAAGCCCACTCAAAGTCAGCAAAGGAACACCAGGAGACAAAGCCCGTCAAAGAGGAAAAGGTGAAGAAGGATTACTCCAAAGACGTGAAACCAGAAAAGCTAACCAATAAGGAAGAAAAGGCCAAGAAGCCTGAGAAGAGTAAAGCACTTGAGAGCAAGGGAGAAAAAAGAAAGAGAAAAACAGAAGAAAAAGGTGTGGATAAAGATTTTGAATCTTCGTCAATGAAGATCTCTAAACTAGAAGGAACAGAAATAGTGAAACCATCTCCTAAACGCAAAATGGAACCTGATGTTGAAAAGATGGATAGGACCCCCGAAAAGGACAAGGCTGCATCATCAACGGCCCCAGCCAAGAAAATCAAGCTCAACAGAGAAACTGGGAAGAAAATTGGAAGCACAGAAAATGTATCAAGTGCAAAAGAACCATCTGAAAAATCAGAGTCAACATCTGGGAAAATTAAGCAGGAAAAGGTCAAAGGAAAGGCTAAGCGGAAAGTAACTGGAACAGAAGGCTCCAGCTCCACTCTTGTGGATTATACCAGGTATCTGATGAGGGCTGTGGAAGGGGTGCTGGGGGATAGTTATACTAGTATAGCTAGGTGATAGTGGATAATAGGTCTGGGGAGATAGTTTCCCCTTCATCCCAACATATTCATTCATTCTTAGTGTTTTGATGGTAGGGAAAAATTTTGTGAAAGACAAAGTTGTAGGATTTGGGTTGTTTTGTTGTTTTTTATGTGTGGGTTTTTTGTTTTGTTTTTTTTAGGCCCTATGTCACTGTATAATCTTTATTAGGGCAGAATTATGTGAACTTTGGAAGTTGCAAGCACATTTATTGCATTTCAGTTAGTGTGTTTGCATTTATCAGTGTTTCTTCATTAATTGAAAATCTCCTAATTGTTTCTAGCACAAGCTCAACTGGAGGCAGTCCTGTGCGGAAATGTGAAGAAAAAACAGACACAAAGCGAACTGTGATTAAAACTATGGAAGAATACAATAATGACAACACCGCTCCTGCTGAAGATGTTATTATTATGATCCAGGTTCCTCAGTCCAAGTGGGACAAAGATGACTTTGAATCTGAGGAAGAAGAGATGAAATCCACACAGCCTATGCCAACTGTAGCAAAACCGTCCAGTGTTATAAAAACTGTGAGCACCAAGCCATCAGCTGCGGTCAAGTATACCGAGAAAGACAGTGAGCCATCAGAGAAAATTCAGAAGCTCACCAAGGAGGTGAGCCACGAACTTGTGCAGCATGAAGTCAAAAGCTCAAAAAACTCTGCATCTAGTGAGAAGGGCAAGACCAAAGATCGAGATCATTCAGTGTTAGAAAAGGAAAACCCTGAAAAGAGGAAGAATAGCACTCAACCAGAGAAAGATAATAATTTGGACCGTCTGAGTGAACAAGGAACATTTAAAAGTCTATCTCAATCTTCCAAAGAGTCCAGACCTTCCGATAATAAGCACGATTCTGTGCGTGGTTCCTCAAATAAAGACTTTACTCCCAACAGAGACAAAAAAACTGACTTTGACAACCGAGAGCATTCTAGTTCCAAGCGGAGAGATGAAAGAAGTGAGTTAACAAGAAGAAAAGACTCTCCTCCTCGCAGTAAAGACTCTTCTTCTGGGCAGAAAAGTAGGCCGAGGGAGGAGAGAGATTTGCCTAAAAAAGGAACAGGAGACTCCAAAAAAAGTAATTCTAGTCCCTCAAGGGACAAAAAGCCTCATGATTATAAAGCCCCTTATGATACTAAACGCTCAAATGAAGAGACAAAATCTGTAGACAAAAATCCCTGCAAGGATCGTGAGAAGCATGTGTCAGAGGCATGGAACAATAAGGAATCGAGTGGCGCCAAGTTGCCTAGTGTGCCCAGCGTGCCCAGCGTGCCCAGCGTGCCCATCCCACCCATCCCAGCAGAGCCACAGGTAGAAAAGGAGCCGGTGACAGCACACCTCGACAAGAATGCTGTTAAGACTAAACCCCAGCTAAGCCATTCCTCTAGACTTTCCTCTGACTTAACTCGAGAGACTGACGAAGCTGCTTTTGAACCAGACTATAATGAGAGCGACAGTGAAAGTAATGTATCGGTGAAAGAAGAGGAAACGTCCACAAACATTTCCAAGGACCTAAAAGATAAAATAACTGTAGAGAAAGCAAAAGAGAGCGTGGACCCAGCAGCCCTGAGCCAACAAGCAGGAGTGAGCAGGACCCAGAGTCAGAGCAGCCCCAGCGTGAGTCCTAGCCGAAGCCACAGCCCGTCCGGAAGCCAGACCCGCAGTCACAGCAGCAGTGCCAGCTCAGCAGAGAGTCAGGACAGCAAGAAGAAGAAGAAGAAGAAGGAAAAGAAGAAGCACAAGAAACATAAAAAACATAAGAAACATAAGAAGCACGCAGGCACTGAAGTAGAATTGGAAAAAAGCCAAAAACACAAACACAAGAAAAAGAAGTCGAAGAAGAGCAAAGATAAAGAAAAGGAGAAGGAGAAAGATGACCAAAAAGTGAAATCTGTCACCGTGTAGAAGGACAGATTTTTTTTTAAATTGACTTAATTACTAAGTCATCTGTATTAAATTTTGTTATAATGTAAAGAGATTCAAGCCTTGTAAATAATGACATGGAAGACCCTGTGCTGCACTTAAAATATTGCTGCTTGATTATTTGATTTTTACATCAGAGCTTTATAACACGAACTTTTGTACAGAATTGTGAGTTGTGACCATGGAACATGAGAGGTTTTGCTAGGGCCTATTATTTTTAACCACCATTAAATTAGTTGGGGTGGAGTTTACTGTACTGTGAAATTTTCACATTTGAATTTTTTTAATTGCCTGGCAAAAGCTGATATCAGTTCTAAAATATCAGCAGAATGATTTGCTGAATTCATTACAACCCCGTTATGTCACTTTTTGATTACAATAAAAGTTTTCAGTAAACTTTTCAAATGTTGAAGTTTTGCATTATTTAAAGGAAATAGTGTCTTCTCTCTTCCATTCCTCTATTTAAAACATCCTTTGAGCCAGATGCCAGTGGCTCATACTGTCATCCTAGCTGCTCAGGAGGCTGAGATCTGAGGATTGCGGTTCAAAGCCAGCCCGGGGAAGGAAAGTCCGTGAGACTCTCATCTCCAATAAACCACTCAGACAACTGGAAGTGGCGCTGTGGCTCAAGTAGAGCGCTAGTCTTGAGCTGAGGAGCTGTGGGACAGTGCCCAGGCCCAGAGTTCAAGTCCCATGACTGACAAAATAATGACATTAAGTATTCTCCTAATCATGTTTAGGAGAGTGGCCTGGACCACAGCAAGGTGCTTCTGTTAACCTGCCCTGAGCTAAGGTGGGACTCCACCCTGTGCCATGTGCACAGCCACTTGTGCCATTGTTGGGGCACGATTGTGAGCAATAAACATCTTTTTTGAATGTGTGGCTTTTAGTGCAACACATTTTAAATAATATTAAATGATTTTTTTTTATTTTTTTTGGGTCCAGTCATGGGGCCTGAACTCTGGGCCTGGGCGCTGTCCCTCAGCTCAAGGCTAGCACTCTACCACTTGAGCCACAGCGCCACTTCCGGCTTTTTTTTCTTTTTGCTTATGTGGTGCTGAGGAATCGAACCCAGGGCCTCTGGCATGCAAGGCATGCGCTCTACCACTGAGCCACCTTCCCAGCCCCAATATTAAATGATTTAAGGGAAAAAAATTCTTAAGACACAAGTCCTGAGAACATGATTGTTTTGGGATGCGGCTCTATTGGGAAATACCAACTTTCCACACTGACAGGCTGCTGAAGCACGTCTATTTACACACAGCCCTTCAGCTGTCCCCACCCAACACCTGCCACCTGTGCAATAGGCCAGCTGGACTGTGTGTGTGAGTGCATGCAGAAAGCTGGCAGTGGAGCTGTGGTTCAATACTAGAGCACCAGCCTTGAGCAAACAAAGCTCAGGGACAGTGCCAAGGCCAAGTATAAGCCTCAGTATTGACCTGCGTGCATGCTCAAGGTTGGTGCTCTACTACTTGAACCATAGCTCCACTGCCAGCTTTCTACTGGTTAATTGGAGATAATCTTACATACTTTTCTACCTTTCAGATCTCAGCCTCCCGAGTAGCTAGGATTACAGGTATGAGCCACCAGCGCCCAGCTCAATGCTCTAATCTTTGAGCCAACTGCTGTTCCATACATTTAGGGAAGAGATCTGTGTAACCCAAACTTGAGTTTTATCATCAAAATTTATCTGGGACCGGTAACATTACCCAGGCTCAGTCATCTGAGTGCCTTCACCTTAACTGAAGTCCCAGTCTTGCAGCTTTTGGAGTTGTCACCTGGAACCAGTCCATGTAGGCTGTACTGTTGCAACAGCTTGATCCTAAATTCTGTCTCACGGGTGTTCCGCCACTCAGCCCTGAGTCACTGTCCAGTTGCCTCTGCCCTTGCAGCCATATGCTAATGTCCCCAAATCCTGTTACTGTCACCCATATTGTTTAGCCTAACTCCGTCCTGCTCGAAGTATCTGACTGCTGCATGATGGAATTCAAGTTGAGAAAGAATTTAAGGCATAACTTTTGGCCAGCCACTGTGCCAGGTGCTTCTTGCAAGTCTTAAGACACTTGCTGTGGCTCTTGGGTATATATTACATGCTGTTTTTGGTTTTTATTTTGTTTGTTCATTGTCAGTGTGGGGCTTGAACTCAGGGCCTGGGTGCTGTCTCTAAGCTCTTCTGCTTAAGGCTAGTGCTCTACCACCTGCAGCCACAGCTCCACTTCTGGTTTTCTTTTTTCTTTTTTTTTTTTCTGTTGTTGGCTATGGGGCTTGAACTCTGGGCCCTAGGCACTGTCCCTGAGCTCTTCAGCTCAAGGCTAGCTCTCTACCACTTGAGCCACAGTGTCACTTCTGGTTTTCTGGTGGTCAATTGGACACAAGAGTCTCAAAGCCCAGGCTGGCTTTGGTTAGCGATCCTCAGATCTCAGCCTCCTGAGTAGCTAGGATTACAGGCATGAACCACCAGCACCCTGCCCATCTTATTATTTTAAGCAAGAAAATCCACTGTGGACCAAGGGTCCATCCACCTTGGATATTCAAGCTAGTGATCCAGGTCACCCCTACTGTGTGGGGGAGTCGCGTTCACCCTCACCCATGTTTTCCTTCAACTACCATGTTTGATTTCCTTCAACTACCAAGAATTTCCTTCTCCCACTTCCATGATTTTGTTCTCACTTGAGAGCTTGCTGTTTTGAATTACTCCTACCCTAAACACGCGAGGTGTGGGAGTACCTGAGAGTACTGTCGAGTACTCATTCCAGGCTTCCCGTGGGCACTGTTGGGTTGTCCCCCTTCCTGGGTGGCTGAGCACAGCGGTTTATATTCCAGAGGCCAAACTAGGACTTGCACGTAGCAAACATGCAAGGTAATATGCAAATCCTCATCTACACAGTGGTGGTAGAAATACATGATGCCAGTAAGCAAACCACGGGAGCCGGTGCTGTCCCCGTAAAGGCTGTTAGGTTTTTTATTTGTTTGGGTTTGTTTTGCTTTGTTTTTGTGCATGTTGTGGGCTTGAACTTGGGGCTTAGGTGCTGTCCCTGAGCTGCTTTTGCTCAAGGCTAGCACTCTTAACACTTGAGCCACAGAGCCACTCCCAACTTGTTCTGTTCAGGCGGTACCGAGGAATCGAACCCAGGGCTTCATGCAGTGTACTCTTAACCTGACTTAGGGAATTGAAACCTCTTTGTACAACTATTTCATAATCGAGGGGGGAAATACCTTTATAACAGACTTGAAAAATGGTGTCCAGTAAATGAGGTGCTTCAGAATGCTGAAGAGATTCCCAAGTGTTAAAATCAGATGCTGAAAAATAATCTTGCCTTGAGCAAAAAAGGGAGGACAGTGCCTAGGACCGGAGTTCAAGCCCCAGGACTGACACAAAAGATAATTAGGTAAATAAAATTCCTTTGTGGAGGCCAAGTGTGACTACTCACACCTGTAATCCCAGCTTTTCAGGAGGTGGAGAGCAGGAGGATCACAGTTTGAGACTAGCCTGGGCAAAAAGCAAGACCTCATCTTAACCAACCAGCTAGGCATAGTAGTAGTATGCTACATAAGATAGCACAAGTAGGAGGATCCTAGACCAAGGTTCACTCCAGGCAAAAGTGCAAGGCCTGTAACTAGAGTCACAAAAGGCTAAGGGTATGGTTCATGTTGTAGAACAGCTACCTACCTTGCAAGTACAAGGTCCTGAGTTCAAACCCAGTGCTGTCAAAACTCCTTTGCTAACTAGCTTCAGTGTGCCAAGTGAAAACCAGCAATACAGAGGTAGAAATCCACATGTGCATGCATCCCAGTTGTAATTACACACAGCCCTGGGCTGCCATGTGGTACCTACATATTGTCTAATGTCCAAACTAGGATAAACATATCATTTGTCCTTTCTCCACAAAATACCCAAAATCATTGCTTCTGACTTTATAAAACCTACACAGTTATTCGTGTGTGTGTGTGTGTGTGTGTGTGTGTGTGTGTGTGTGTGTGTGAGATACACTAGTACCGGTGCTTGAACTCAGGGCCTGAGCACCGTCTCTTGGCTTTTTGCTCGAGGCTGGCATTCTACCTTTTGAGCCATACCTCTTCTAGCTGCTCCGTGGTTAATTGAAGATAAGAGTCTCATGGACTTCCCAGTCCAGCCTGGCTTTAAATCTCAATGCTCAGATCTCAGCCAGGATTCTGAGTAGCTAGGAACATGAGACTCCCTTATCTTCCCACAACACTTTCCAAGCCCTTTCCTTTACCTGCGCCCAGGTGACCCTCTTTTCCTGTCCTGTCTTTCCTGCCCTATCTATATTGCCTTCACTATAGATTCTTCATCGTTAAGATGAAATTAGTGTTCAGGGTATTTTTCTGAACCATGAAATAATTCTCCTGAGATGAATTATGCCATTAGAGGGCAGAAGAAGCTGCTGTTGGCTCTTTAAAATAGCAACTCTTTTCCTCTGTGTATATTATTTTTTGTGTGTGCCAGTCCTGAGGCTTGAACTCAGGGCCTGGGCACTATCCTGGACCTTTGCTGCTCATAGCTACTGCTTTATCACTTGAGCCACAGGTCCATTTCAACTTTTTTTTTTTGGTGTGTATTTGGAGATCAAAGTCTAAAGGACTTGCCTGCCTGGGCTAGCTTCAAACTGATCCTCAGATCTTAGTTTCCTGAGTAGCTAGGATTATAGGTATGAGTCCATCAGTGTTCAGCTTGTCTATAATTTTTTTTAAAACAACACACAGTTATATACAGATATCAATGAATGTTTAATTTGTGAAAAATGTCACCAACACTAAAACAAGAATGCCAATAAAGTTCCATTGTATTAGGCTAGGTACAAGTAGCTCATGCCTGCAATCCATGAGACTTTTTTTTTTTTTTTTTGCCAGTCCTGGGGCTTGAACTACGGCCTGGACATTGTACCTAAGCTGCTTTTGCTCAAAGCTAGCACTCTACCACTTGAGCCATAGTGCCACTTCCGACTTTTTCTGTGTATGTGGCACTGAGCAATTGAATCCAGGGTTTCATGCTAGGCAAGCTCTCTACCATTATGCCACATCCCAGCCATCCATGAGATTCTTATCTCTAGTTAACAAGCAAAAAGCCAGAAGTGGAGCTGTAGCTCAAGTGGTAGAATGCCAGCCTTGAGCAAAAAAAGCTAAGGGACAGCACCCAGGCTTTTGAGTACCAACATACATACACACCCCAAAAAATTAAGCATGTGCCTTGATATGAGGGGTATTTTTTGTTTGTTTGTTTGTTTTTTCAGTTTTGGGCCTTGAACTCAGGGCTTGAGTGCTGTCCCTTAGCTTTTCTGCTGAAGGCTAGCTCTCTACCACTGAGCCACAGTTCCACTTCCGGTTTTCTGGTGGTTAATTGGAGTTAGGAGTCAGGCTAGCTTTGAACTGTGATCTCAGATAGCAGCT